CTCTTTTCAGTGGGGCCCAGTGACAGGACAAGGGGCAATGGGCACAAACTGAGGCACAGGAAGTTCCGTCTGAACATGAGGAAGAACTTCTTCCCTCTGAGGGTGACGGAGCACTGGAACAGGCTGCCCAGGGAGGTTGTGGAGTCTCCTTCTCTGGAGATATTCAAGACCCGCCTGGACAAGATCCTGTGCAGCCTACTGTAGGTGACCCTGCTTCGGCAGGAGGGTTGGACTAGATGACCCACAGAGGTCCCTTCCAATCCCTACTATTCTGTGATTCTGTGATTCTTCCTCTGTTGACTCTCCTCCATAGACCAGGCTCTGACTTTAAGATCACCAAAGACAGGGGGAGGTGAATCCTATGCTTCAGTACTGTTGGGCAGAAGCTAGACCTAGGGACCAGCTCGGACAACGCCGCACAGCAGAGGCAGCATGAGCTCAGTTAAACTTTTTGCACTGAAACGACAGGTATACGTTCTAGGAAAGTGCTGAGTTTGAGAGATTAAAGTGATGGGCACCAAGAAACACCAGCAGGTTGTCATAAAATGGCACTTCCAAGGAGCTCTCTGCGTGCCTGAGATGTGGCTTTCAAATGGTGCAGCAGAACTGTAGAATAACCTAGGTTGGAGGGACCTCTGGAGGTCTCGCATCCAAGCCCTTGCTCAAAGCAGGTCCACCTTGCTCAGGTTCCTCAGAACCTTGTCCTGGGGATAGGTTTTCAGTGTCTCCAAGGGAGAGGAGGTTACCCCAAGCAATGTGGATGTTTCAAGGTTCTGTTCTCGTGGAGGTGCAAAGATACTTTTGGTAGGGATGGCTGACCTTGGTTCCAAGGGAATTCAGCTGGAGCTGGGAAAACTTAACGTCTCTTTCTGCAGGGCTCTGCCTATAGTGAGGGTGGTTTATACAACAGCACCTTATAAAGCTATTCAGAAATTATTAGTTCCCAGCACTGGAAATTTCCCAGCATTGACATTAATCCATCAGAGAATTTTTATCCATTAAAGACTAATTTTGCTCCTGAAAAATGCGACAATGATAATGACTTGAACCTCTCTGGGTGCAGAACTACTCTATTTCCTTTATTCCCTAAAATTTAGTTTTACTTCTCTTTTTTGCTCCTATTTTTGCTTCTTTTGCATCATTAGAAACATGATTAATGAAGCAAGTAAAGCAACTGGAGACTGCTTAATCCTTCTAATTGATAATGAATCAAGGGTACCTGGGACAAATACTTCTTGCGTAATCTGAAACTAGGTCTGAAGCACTCACAGAACAATCTTTAGTAATATTTTTTTTTTAATCCATAGTCCATCTAAAGACCACTCACACAGAGTCTGGAATTAATGGGCTAAATTGTATAAAGACATATATAAGTAAATATGGAAATAATTCACCCTAATCTCTTGAAAGTCACGTTTACTGATGTTCTTCTGAGATGGTTCCTTAAGACTAAAGTCATTTTTGCTTTAACAGACTGTTTTCCGTAGAGTCATCATCGGTGAAACTGGCTGAAGTGCTAAGGTGAATTATTATAATTCAGTTTTGCACATAATGCTTCATTAAATTAGGACCATGCTTGTCTGCCAAAGTATGGAAAACAATGAATGTGCCAAAAAATCCACATGGAAAAATATCCACTTATAAAGAGGGATGTTATTCCAGTTCTTGTGCTGGACTGCAGCCCTGCCTCAGTACGTGTGGTTTGGGAGCTGCTCCATCACCACGTGTTTCCTTCCTCACAACCCACTTCCCTGCTTTAATGAGAGAAAAGGTGAGCATCTCCCCTTGGGAAATAGTAATTTTATTGGTCTGGGGTTCAGATGAAAGAACCACAAGAGAACTGTAGATGCTGTGTTTACAACCAGTTCCCTACAGCAGGAACCATTTTAGTAAGCTTGGAGCCCCAGAGGAGCCTTCTTCACTTCTTCACTTTTCTTCACTTCTCTTCCCTTCTTCACTTTTCTTCCCTTCTTCACTTTTCTTCCCTTCTTCACTTTTCTTCTTCACTTTTCTTCACTTCTTCACATCTTCGCTCATCT